TGGGATGCCACAAATTGCAGTTGCGCTCTGTGATGTTCCCATGGCTGAGCATTTCGGGCACATTTCCTTTGGTTTTGATGATGATGGAAGCCTGGAGAATACCAGGATTGCCTGAGCTTTGATATTCATTATGGGCGACTGCGTGACTGTGCCTGGGCTGGGATTCCCAGACAGGGCAGGAAGGGGAGGTACCATGGACATTGCTGCTGCAGTCAGTCCCACCTGACCTGTGTCCTGCTCTCTCACAGCTGGGGTGCTGGCTGGATGGGGAGGCAGCGGCGTGGCTGCAGGAGGTGGGCACTGAGGATTGGAGCTCCAACAGCTGCCAGGGCTCTGCCAAGCACTTCAACGAATTCCTCGCCCAGGCCACAGTACGTTTGGAGTGGGGGGGTCTGTAGCATGTGTCCCTCAGGTTTGGGACAAGGATTATGGGCAAATCCTGGTGTCCCTGAGCTGTTGGGTCATGCTGCAGTTGTCAAGGATAGCATTTCAGGGATTCTGGGCAGCTGTGGCGGTGGCTGCGCTGCTCCTAGGTGTGTGCTGGGCTGGGGCTCCTCCTGTGCTCCATCCACACATCTCCCTTGTCCCACAGAGCCTGGGCATCCATCAAACAAATAACACGGTGAGGAGGATCTGTTCTTCCCATTCCCCTGGATGTGGAGGCCCTTAAGTTAGACGCACCACAGGGAGGATGAGGCACAGTGACACCACTCAGGATAGGAAATGCATTTAGTGTGTTTTGAACTGAGCCAGGGCAGAGCAGAGATTTGGAGAATCCCCATTCCCTTTGTTTCTTCTCACTTGCCCAGAAGCATTTTCTATCCAGCTGTGATGGTGATGCCCAGTGCTGGCCCACAGTGCCTCACCCTGCGCACACATCACAGGCCAGTGCTGTTCCTGAGCATGGAGCCTGTTCCTTCCTGCTGTCCCTGCAGGCTCAGTACCGGCATGGCCTGACCCTGTGCCAGGAGGCAGCTGAGGTCCAAGATGCAGCATTCCCCGAGGCAGATGCCTTCCAGGTGGCTGCAGCCCTTTTCCGGACCAAGCTGACAAGCTTCTCCAAGCAGCTGGAGAGGCGGCAGGCAGAGCAGGAGCTGCTGCAGGAGCTCAACCAGTTCTCCAGCAAGGTGGGTGCCGGGGGTCTTCCCCCACAGGTGCTGCTGGTGGCCATGAAAGCAGCTGCTCACCTCATTTTCTAGGTCATGGGACTGAAGCTGGACTGCCGGCAGTGCTCGGCCCGGGCGCAGCGTGGGGAGGGCCAGGCACTGCGGTGCCTGCAGAGATCCTTCCAGAAGCTCTCGGTGGAGTTCGCCCTGGAGAAGCTGCAGGAGATGAAGGCTCAGGTGCGCAGGATGCAGAGCAGTCAAAGGCTGACAGCCTGGACAGAGGCACGGCACAGGTACCAGGAGACCCGGCAGATCCTGGAGGAGATGCTGACAGAGCTACAGGAGGCCTGGGGCTGCAAGCCGATGGGCAGGGAGACTCCTCCAGCCCCCCCAGCTCAGGGTCTGCAGCCCCTCACATGGAAGCCCCAGTCTGCAGAGCAGCCACCAGCCCTGAGTCAGCAGGGTCGGAGGGCCAGAGAGTGGTGAAACAGCCAGAGCCCAGTGCCGAGGGGTCGGGACAGTCCCGGGGATCAGGAGAGCCCCAGGCCAGCACTGCTCGTGGCCCCACACTGGCTGCAGAGCCCAGCTCCCTGCAGCCCTGCTGCCAACAGGGTCCCAAGGGTGCCTGTGCCTCTCACCCCAATGTCTCTGCTGACAATCCCCTCCCCAAACCCAAGAGTGGAGCCAGCCTGAGAGCAGCAGGACACCTCGCCCAGGATCACAGCCAGCCCCCGCGGAGGCGTCCCCTCACCCTGCCTCCCTGGGCACGATTTCCAGGTGCTGACCAGCTTTGTCCCACCACTGTGCCCCATGGCACTGCCTCAACCCCCAGCACACCTGGCCCGCAGGCAGGGCCATGCATAGAAGCCGCTCAGTACTTCCAGGTCTCCAGCCAGAGCAGTTTCTCCTCTGAAGACTCAGACTCACAGAACAACATGGAAGAAGCCCCAGCAGCAAGCCTGGCTTTGCTCCAGGACCTCCGGAGTCCCAGACAACCCTGTTCCTCTGAGAAGCCCCCCCAGATCATTTACCTGGAGAACCACCACACTGAGAGTCCAGCTAAAGCAAATGCCAAGTAACTAGTCCCTCCAGCTGGGTGTGTTTCTGTCCAGCAGTGTAAATCTCAATCACCAACTGGACAGGACTCCCCAAGCTTGGAGGTGGGATGCTGGGACTTCTTACTCAATCCTTGGTCCCAGAATCTTTGGTTCCCCATCCTTAGTGCTCTCCCTGTCACGGGTTGGTGGTAACCCTGTCACCAGCTCACAAGGTTCATTAATAATCTACGAAGTGTGTAGCAATCTTCCCATAAAGTGCCTTTATCTCTACCAGCGGCAGCATTGCCTCAGACAGTGGACAAGGTTCCCACAGTCAACTGCCCTGTCTGGAGCATACCAGGGTAGAGGATACCTGTGGCAAGGTGTTCTTGCCACTGACTGTTTCCTGCTCCACCAGGCGGTTTTACTGCCACAGCCTGGGTCAAGCCCCAGCGATGGGCCCTGTGTTCTTGTGCTCTCCTTATCATGGGACTAATGCCATTAACATCAATAAACCTGAAGAGAAGCACCTGGTGTGGTTCTTGTGGAGCACAGCAAGAAGCTGTGTCCTGGCAAGAGCCAAGTCCTGAGCTGCTCGCCTGGGCTGCAGCTGCTCCTACTGCC